TTTTTAAAAAATATATGAAGGCAAATTTCAAACTGTCCTCCACTCTAACTCTGACATCACGCACTCTGCCTTAACGAGCTGTGCAACATTGACTTCAATGGTTAAAAATGTGATGTATTATGGGATGTATCTCTGGAATTATGAAAGTTATGAATGAGAAAAGTAATAGCCATCGATTTCCGACCGAGCTGAACGTTTCGATGTTCGAACGGAGTTTCTGCGATGTTCAATGCGGGAGGAGAAGCGCGGCAAAATAAGTTGGCGGAATAATCAACTTTTCGTGCGTAGAATAACAATAAATGGAATGCTGTTAACAGCTGTTTTAGTCTCAATTTATATTTCTTTCTTTATACATTTATTTTTTCTTGTGTTTATTTATTCCTGTATTTATTTCCACATTTATTTCAGTATTTTTCACATTTATTTATTCTTGTATATTTTTTAATTCCTGTATTATTCTGTATTTATTTATTTGTTACTTATGTCATGTTCTGTCCTCCATATCTACCCAGATATGCAGCCTTGGAATAAACTAGGATCCCAGAAGAAAAAAAAACATTGAATGTTTGTTCTTGCTCTTTTTTTTATGAACCAAACCAAATTATCTTTAGTGAAAGGGGCGGGGAGGGACATTCAAAACAAAAACCCTTTCTAAATCCATCTGAGCTAATGAAAATATACAGCATGGCATCACTGATATTGATACTAGAAATATTTAGAGTGGATTGACGTATGGCCATCAATACATTTTGCTGCCTTCACCTTCAAGAGAGGGAGTTTTGATACAACTTTTCTTTAAGGTTTGTGAAATAAAAAAGCATCGCAGTCGTTTTCCCGTTAACTGTTTCAAGAAAGAAAGACAAAAAATTGGTCTGCATTTGTACATTTGAAAGTGCATTGCAGTATATAAAAAGTGAGAGTTTCACTGACACTTGTATTAGCTGAGATGCTTGCTGGGATGTTAACAGTTAAAAAAAGATCCACACTGAATCACAGGGCGATATATTGATGCTGCTCTGATAGACATGTTGAAGTGTGATGGAGGACACCTGCTGTGACATCACTGATTTGGGTGTGGTCAGAACATATAGGCGTGCACCTTGGATGTTTAAAGAGCAGCACAGCAGCAGTTCTCATATGTTTTTCAGATTCATGATTTAAAAAAATTGGAAGCATTTTTTTAATGCATAATAGGAAAAATCCACACAAAACACATGTCAACTATTTTAATATTCTTTAATGTCTGCTTAGCTACCATTTGTGTTTTACAAGTAGTACAAATGTGATGACAACATAAGCTCAAAACATTGGTGAGGATTGCACACCCTCTGAACTGGCTATGCTCATGAAATATCTCATAAGATGCAATATTCTACTGCTCCATGTCATTATCGTTCTGCAGAGTCTTCATTGCCAGGCCCCACAGAGTGACACTGGAGGTAAACTGGCCCTCAGTGGACCTGTACGACCCACTGATGGGCCGGCTAGAGGAAGAGATGGAGCCGCAGTGATTATCTGTGGGAGGAAGGTAGGGTCTCCCCATCGGATCTCTGCCCATTTCCCCTGACATCCCATTCTCCACATACGGCCCGTACACCGCCTCCTCAGAGAGGTGGAGGGACTTGGCAAGCTTCATGTGGTCTGAAGGAATCATGGCTGTGCTCCTCTCCTGGTGGTTGGAGGAGAGCAGGTGATGGGGGACCAGGGATCGCAGCTCTGGAAGAGGGGTGGGGGTGGGAGCTGGGCTGATTTGCATGCTGGGAGGTGGAGTCTCTGTATGAGGTGTTGGTGGTGGTGAAGGCGATGAGGGTTTCTCTAACCCTGCACGGGGCGTCGTGCTGGAGAAAGGCTGCGAAGTGGAGGCGGGACGACGTTTTCTCAGACGGACAGGTTTGGGGACAGGGGCACCTTCTGAGCTACAGGGGGGGTCAGAGTTGTCTGAGGGCGGGCTGTCGGTTGGAGCCCCCTTGCAGTGTCGGTTGCTGTGTCTCCTCAACATGGCGGAGCGGGTGAAGCTCTTTCCACAGGCGTTACAGATGTAAGGTTTCTCACCTGTGTGTGACCTGATGTGGCGCTGCAGGTCCCCTGAGCCGATGAAGCACTTTCCTACAATATTTAAGAAAACACACATTAAATGTAGATACTGTGAAGGCATTAGCTAGAGTATATTCTGAAGATCAAGCTCTACTTGGTGAATTCATCACTTGACTTAAGAATTTTCATGTCACAATTTTTGTTAATAAGCACCGGGTAACATTTTCTTGGAGATTTATTGATTCGAAATGACTACAAAACTCAATGTTTTAAATCAATAATGAAATTATGACAACAAGTCAGCATCAAACACATTCAAAATTCCATTATTCTTGGAAAGCCTATCATTAGAAATAGTGAATCAAAAGATAATAGCATTGATTTATAATTTAGTTTTTAACACTTTAGAAAACACTAAAAAAAACATTTGTAATTCAGTAAAGCCAAAGGTGTCGCACTCAAAAGATTATTATCAAATCAAAAGTAAATAACCGGAAGACATGCAATTTATAGTCACATTAGATGAAGAGCCTCAAGTCCTGCCCACTAAAAAGCTATAACCAATAACTTGTTTTTAAAACATGAATAAAGCGACTAATCGATTATCAAGATAGTCGCCGCTTAGTTTTCTGTTAACGGACTAATCATTTCAGTCCTAGGAAAGGGATTCATACATCCAAAGTGAAATCAACGTGAATAACACTTTCAAGAAGATAGCCGCTGTTCCCATCCTTACCGCAGGTGGCACAGCTGTGAGGCTTCTCTCCAGTGTGGCGGCCCTTGTGCTTCAGAAGCTTTCTGTGCGTGTTGAAGGACTTCCCGCATTGGTCACATGTGAATGTCTTGTCTGTGGTGTGAGTCCTTTTGTGCTCCTTGAGATTACTTAAATTGTTAAATCCTGAGTGACAAGAAAAGAACAGTGAATAACACACCAGGAGAAAAATATGTTACAGCTGAGTCTGTGAACAACGCAGCTCACACCACTGTGGATGATTTTGTAATGGTTTAACTTGAGAACGAGACCATTCATTAAACACTGCAAATACATTGATTAGGAATATTATAAAGAAAAGTGATTCTGTTTAGAGCGATCATTTACCTCGACCACATATATCACACAGATGGGGCTTCTCTCCTGTGTGGACCACTTTGTGACGATGGACATCCCCCGATGCGGTAAAGCTGGAAAACACAGATAAATATGGAATTTTAAAGGCTGGTCCCGAAATCTACGTAAATTGCCAAGATTTTGGAAACTAGTAATCAGTTAGGTCGTTAAGGCAGACACACAAACATAAAATAAACACAACATTGAAGGATAATTCCTTTATAAGAGTAAGAGGAATGACAAAAAAGTTGAATTAGATATAGGGCAATTTGATACATGGAGTTAGCTTACCTTTTACCACATAACTCACAGATGTACGGCCTTTCTCCAGAGTGTCGCCGCAAATGTGTCTGTAAATTTCCAGCCTGTGAAACAAAATAAGTTAGATTGATATCTAAGAATAACTGTGGGAAATAAGAGTAATACACCAGACAATACCTGTGAGAAATATCTTCCACAAACATTGCACTGAAAGGGCTTCTCACCTGCATGAAAGAAAAATAGGTTTGTGTCTGAAAACAGTATTGCAATTACATTACAAATACTACAGAACCGTGTTAGTGTTAATGTGTGATTTATAAAGACTAAATACCGGTATGTGAGCGCTTGTGCAGCTCCAGGTTGCTCGGGTGTTTGAAGATCTTCCCACACACCTCACAACAGTACTGCTTGTTTCCGGTCTGCAGCGGTGGCTCGGGCACAGTCTTCAGACTTTGCTCTTCTTCGTTCACAGGTGGAGATGTGGGAGGTTGTACTTCTGTTGGCATCTCCGCAACAGGCTCCTTGGTGACGTTAAGGTCCTCAACCGGAGCTTCTGTAGCTTCAGTCTGGACCACTGCCTCTTCTCGCTGAATCTCTTTGGGACAGCTGAGGACAGGCTCACTCATGGACTCAGCAAACATTTCCTCCAAAGCCTTCTGAGACCGGAGGTAGTTGTATTTCTTTAGGTACACAGCCTTCTTTGGGCGTATTGGTTTGTTGAGCATGGGGTCTTCTGAGTTAGAGCTGGGGGTGTTTAAATTATCTGAGGGTGTTAAAGAAGAGACAGGGTTCTTGTCGACTGCCACAGATGTGCAGGGAGGATTGGGCTGAACTGTGTTTCCTGAGCATACAGGAGTGTTGCTGCCTCCCTGACCGACTCCAAGCTGAATCTGCGGCTCTTCCACCAGCACCAAGGGGCACGGAGCTTGATTTAAGGCTGCACTATTAGTCTCAAGTGCACTCTGTTTGAAGTACTGCTTACTGTAGAAGTTACGGAGCTTGTAGCCGTGGACAAGCTGTTTTTCTACAGGCGCCTGAGTGCTGCCGGCTGTGTCACAATTTGTGCTGCTATTAGAAACAGAAAGCTGCATCCTTTTGTTGTGGTCCATGTCTGCGCTGAAGCTGGTCCTCTGGGTTTCTGAGGGACAATGGAGGTCAACATCATGAGGAAGACCGCTTCCCAAGAGGCAGTCGTGCTCGGAGCTCAACATGCCCGGGAGAGAAAATGATGGGATCTCCACCGGTGGAGGGCAAGGCTTGAGGAAAGTATTGCACATGATCTGGACATTTAGAACCTGCAAACACTGAGCAATGTCCAGGAGTGCTTGAACATTATCTTGGTTGATGTCAAGATGGGAGGTGTACATGTAGTCCAATATTTGTCCCATACCGCTCACATCCTGGATGACCAAGTTGAACACCTCATTCTTCTGACTGGGGGAATTTTGGAATAAAGACCTGGAAAAAGATCAAAGCAGTACTTTGTTACTCTAACACAGCAGCGAATGATTACTGTGCTAAATAGAATGGATGGAAACCACACTAATACACTGATTCAATACAAATAGGCACCTGAAATATGAGCTGAAAGCAGCAAGGACGTTTTTGTGGGCTTTGAAGCAGACACCTTTGACCACTAGCATGCAGTCACAGAGCAGACCCTGGATCCTCTGCTCCTGGAGCTGCTGCAGCAGGTAGGAGCTGTGGGTGGACAGGGCGTCCATGCTCACTCAGCTGCTGAACCACTCAGGTCCAGAAAAACCTAGGGGGACATGTGTAAACATAATAAATATATATATATTTTAAATAAATACGATTTATTTAGTTTGTTTTAATTCATGAAACACAACCACATTTAAAGTGATGGTAGTGGGTTTTCTAAATTGATAAATTCATATATAATTCAACAACCGCGCAGAATCTAGTCGGTCTGTGCTACGAGACCACCCATGCAAAAATTGGGATGAAACCCACCAACATGCTAACTACAATGCTAGGCTAAACAACTACAACGGTAAACAGTGTGAGTCGGTAAGGCATGAAATCCCTGAAGAAATACATTTAAAACCGAAATTGAAAGTTCTGAATCCTTGTAGTTCAGTCAATTTTGAAATAAATATAACCTACATCTGAGGAGTCCACCTTTTATTTGGATGATGGGTCACTTTTCCAGAGTAAGAAACGTCACTTCCCCTCCTGGTGCAACCTGTATTTAGAGCCGTCAAAACATGAAGCAGGAGAAAATAGAATTATAACGTTGAGACTAAGAAGCAATTAAAGTTTAATATAACGTATGTAAAATAAGTGTAATCTCCTGCTATTTAACTACCGAATAAAAACAAAGCTTTGCACAGGGTTTGTTTTCACGCTGGTCGGAACTTCTCTCATGTTACAATTTTACACGGAAGACTTTAAGTGGCACTAACGTGTCACGTCAGCGCCGTCACGTGTGTTTTGAAAAGTTTACGGGAATGGAAAGCTAAACGGCTCCATTGGCATTAATACATCCGCAGTAATTGGTTAATTTTAACATTTGCTGTCTTTGGATAACGTAAGCTTCTTTTGGTTAGCTAACATTAGCTCAAACCATTGCGGTGGACATATTCCGCATGAAGATTGTACCGATTTCGTTTTAACGTTAAGTGACACGTTGGTCGCAGATAGTAGGAACCAGATTCAATCAAAGTTATAAATCCTTTTTACACTAGCAAAATTGTCGTTCAAATATGGTAGTTTTCACCTGTAACGGGTGTGGTGAATCCGTGAAAAAAGCTCAGGTTGATAAACACGTGAACATGTGCCGGGGTTGCCAGAGCCTGTCCTGCATGGACTGCGGAAAAGATTTCTGGTAATGACGGACTATTTACTATTGCTTAACTTTAAAATGTTGAACCCAATCTGACTCTATGTGTGTAATGGTGTGTCTATTTTTCACATTAAACAGGGGTGATGACTACAAGAACCACGTCAAATGTATCAGTGAAGACCAGAAGTATGGAGGCAAAGGGTACGAGGCTAAGGCAAACAAAGGAGATATAAAACAGCAGCAGTGGATCCAGGTAAACGACACCCCTCACTCTTGTGTATTTGTTTTTTCAAATCGTCTTTTGTTCCTAACTTGATGTTTCCCCTCCCTCAGAAAGTCCAAGACGCCATGAACAAACCTGGAGTCAGTGCAAAGCTAAAGGATGTGCTCCAACAAGTCAGCTCGTATGACAACGTCCCTAGAAAGAGGGCCAAGTTTCAGGTTGGTATTACTTCAGTATATCAATCATTGGCTCTTTTATTGAACATCTTGTGTTATTCTATTCCAACAAACAAGCATATCTAGTTCATATCATGGCCCTATGAAATGAAAATGAACCATTTTAAACTCAATCCAATGAAAAACATCAAGAGTCAAGGCTTTATTGTCATGTCCACAGTAGCTACACTGTAGATATGGTAATTAAAAACGTAAGTCCCAGGCTCCTCACAACAAAACAACTCGTAAATTCATAAGAATTCTGAGTAGAGCTATACGATTTGCAAGTTCCCATGGTTTTTAATAGAAGTTTGAAGAAAAAGTTCAAAAAAAGAATTCTAACGTAAACTGGGAGTTTGTGGTGAGTTAGTATGAAATGACCCACATGTGAAACTTTAGTGAAGCAGACGCAAGTGTGTGTTGTTGTTGTGTCTCTAATCGACTCTACTTTTGTGTTTTTCTTCAGAACTGGATGAGAAACAGTCTTCAAATATCTAACACAGGTCTTCATGATGAAGTGTGGGACATCCTCTCTGCAGGTGACAATGTAAGTAACTCTGCCTAAAGCTTACTTTAAGTTTTGTTTGACCAATTCTCTTTGCACACCACTCACTATCAGCCGTTATAGACAGAGGTGAAATAGTTTTAGTTAATTCAAGTCAACAGTAATCGAATTAACTTGGTTTCTTGAGTTGCTTTAACAAGTACTCTTCCACTGCTGTATGGGCATAGGCATTAAGTGGCAATATTAAATAAGCATGCTACACAGATGTATGTTATCTGACCCAATTCATATTATTTTCATATTTATAGGTTATCGCTTTATGTGGTTTTCCTTTTGTGTTTTTTTTATACTCTCTATTATTCCCTACCCATAATCCAGCAGCCTCCTCAGGCCCCCCCGGAGACTAAAGAAGCTAAACAGACAGTGGCTGAAGTCAAAGCGGAAACTAATGGAGACGAAAAGCAGAACGGCAATCAAGACGCGGAGAAGAAGAAGAAACTCAACAAACGGGAGCGCAAAGAGGCCCGGCAGCAGAAGAGTGGGAAGGCTGTGAAAACTGCTGAAAAGACGGGTGCACAGGAGCCAGGAGAAGGCAAAAAGAAAAAGAAGGACAGGAAGAGGAAGCACAGCAGTGACGAAGAAGAAGAGGAAGAGCAGGACGGTGCTGGGAATGAGACAGCCAGCAAGAAGACAAAGACGAGTAAGGCACCCTTTAAAGACATGCTTTTCTCCTTACAGTATTTGATATGATTGTATTGCTATTTGCAACAGCGCAGCATTGTGTCTATTAATGAACACGTGTGGAATTGCTCAATTTGAGCATCAGCTGCTTTGCAAGGTTTGTTACAAATAATTGAGATGAAAATGTATTTTATTCAAGAAATGATGGTAAATTAGTTAATTATTCAGAACATCTGTTTTATTGCAGTGCGCTCTTTATGTCTTTGTGTTAGGAAATATTGTCTTAATAATTACAGCGTATTATCTTTAAAACGAAAAACGTTCTTTTGATGTCTTTATGTAATATGCGTTATTTAGCTAAATATATACATGTTTATATTCTTTTTTTCAGCTGACCAAGAGGAGGATGATTCAACAGAAGAGACAGAGGACCAACAAGTTCCCAAAGGTAACATGGTTCCCATAGACAGGGGTGCACATCACTTTCTCAGTGAGGTACTCAGATTTGGTACTCCAACTTCTGGCTCCACTCAAAGTTATTTGATGAAGCCCTCTGTATCGCGAACGTCAACGGG